AAAAATCTATTGGCAATTTAAGTTCAAGAAGTCCACACAAGCCCTTTCCAGATAACCAATCTTAAATGCCTCCCCAAAGAGAGTGAATTAGTGATCTTGTAGCCTGATAACACAGGAAAACACACACATATGCACCAGCAGATCATTCAAATCATATAAAAAACGGTCATAGATTTCTCTAAAACCCAGCAAACTAATAAGTCCCAGATCCATTAAGGATAAGATCTTTCACAATAAATTAAATAAAACAATTTATTGAGGCCTGGGCTTGAGATAAAATAGATTTACTGGTTGACCTTTTATTCATTTAAAGAACAAAATTAGCTCTAATTGCATTAGAATGGAATCCAGTAAATTTCTTCTAATGTGGCATTTATGCAAGTGTTGCTGTAATTGTTTACTACAAAGATAGAAATGCTCTGATTATAATCTATTTTCCACTTGGTTTTAGTGTGCAGTCAAAGCACTTGCAAGAAACCACCACCTGGGATGTAACATGTCCTCTACACTTTGCTAGAGCTAGATTTGAATATCTAGCGACCCAAACCTGCATTTAAATTATTACAAAGGAAATTCAGTTTTTAAATAAGTTAGTGCATATTTATTTGCTGGTGGTTCACCCAATGGAGTAGGTCAGCCTTTCCCAGCTTGGTGTTCGCCTGATATTTTGGACTACCATTTTTACCAACTCTGAAAATGTCCATGCTGGTGGAAGTTAAAGAGTCCAACTGCACCTAGAAGACAGCAGGTCAGGGAAGGCTGGAGTAAGCAGCAGGGGGGTTATATGAAACTCAGTAGATGAACTTTATGCATTTGCTTGTGGATAAGACAGATGTTATGAAATGAAGGCGCTCTATCTGTTTTTAGTTGATGCATATAATGAACCATAGCGGGCACCATCTTGGAATACGCAATCCCTTGGGTGTGAAAAAAGGAACTGCTGAAAACAAACAAAAGTCTATTTTCAGATGGTGCATATCACCCGCCGCTTATCCAAATACATAAATGGTTAACCATTATTTTGCAAATGCTGCCTCATTGATTGACCGAAAAGGTGCCCCTGATAAAACAAGTAAATGAGTAGCAACTTATTTCTCAAATGTATATCCTGCCCTTCGTCCCAAAGGAGCCCAAGGCGGCAGAGAAGACATTTGTGCAGATAATGGGGTTTGCATAAAGGTACATGGACCCATTGGATAGTAGTCTACTGCCTTCTGGTTCTTTTCCTGACAGGATACGGGAGGCTTCATTTTGCACCTACTGCTTTCATCATCGCTGACCATAGGCTATGCTAGCTGGAGCTGAAGGCTTTCCATCCTTGAGGAAGAGTGGATTTTAGTGTGGGGCAAGAAATGTGTGTGTGTGTGTGTGTGTGTGTGTGTGTATGAGAGAGAGATGGAAGGAGGCTCAGAGCAAAGTCCAAGACCCACTCTCAGACATGCTGAAGGTTAACTGCCCAAAAGCAGCGTGCGTTATTAGAAATCTCTTGGCACCTTGTTGGGAATCTCAAGTAGGGAGAGCACGGCTGAGCTCAGGTTCCCATAGAGATCTGGTTGGTCACTGTGAGAACAAAATGCTAGACCAGATGGGCCTTTGGCTTGATCCAGCCATGTTCAATCTGAACAAGAGTGGCTTACGAGAGCAATTTTAAAAATAAATAAATCCATAAACAATAAAACAAAAACCATATAATTTAGCAGCTCGGGAGACAACAGACTAGCATACCACAAGATCAAAAAAGTCTGGGGACAGGGATAGTGTCCACCTGGTGGTCAAAGAGATCTTTGGTTTGGGTCAGTATCTTGAGGGTGTTCTAGAGACTTTCCTCCAGTCACTATCCACCTCTGATGACTATCTTAAGACACGAGCAGGTTCAGGTGAACCTGCAATGACAAACCTAGACAGCATCTTAAAAAGTAGAGACATCACCGTGCCAACAAAGGCCCATATTGTCAAAGCTATGGTTTTCCCAGTAGTGATGTATGGAAGTGAAAGCTGGACTATAAAGAAGGCTGATCGCCAAAGAATTGATGCTTTTGAACTATGGTGCTGGAGGAGACTCTTGAGAGTCCCATGGACTGCAAGAAGATCAAACCTCTCCATTCTGAAGGAAATCAGCCCAAGGAGAAGGGGACGACAGAGGATGAGATAGTTGGATAGTGTTCTCGAAGCTCCCAAAATGAGTTTGACCAAACTGCAGGAGGCAGTGGAAGACAGAAGTGCCTGGCGTGCAATGGTCCATGGGGTCACGAAGAGTCAGACACGACTAAACAACTAAACAACAACAGGTTCAGGTAGAAGAACTGGAGAAGTCGGACCTTAAGGTTCCCAATTCTAAGCTGTCCAGAAACACTTGTTATCTCTTTCATACCACAGAATAATAGCCAAGTACATAGGCGCTCCTGAGAAAGAATCACATGTGATCTGAAATAAGTGACCAGGAAAGGAAGGGGCAGGGAGACTTATAGTAATTCCACGCCTGTGAGAGCAAGTTACTGACCTCACCTCCAAGATGAAGGAGGGAAGAGAGGCTAGAGGACACAGAAGGAAGGAGAACTAAGAAGTGCAGACTTAAATAGGCAATTGGCAAATATGGGGGGGAAATTGCAGAAGCGGGTGAAAACAGAGACTCCTGCTCTGGGCACCAAAGCACCCATTTAGATGAAGCAAAGCCAGGAATTTAGATGGACATTTTAAATAAATGTTAGAAATTAGAAATCTCCATCTCTTGCTGGCTGTTTGTCTAAGCAGAGACGACCAAATACCGAAAAAGCAAGCTATGTTCTTATCTGTACAGAAAGGCTCTGTAAGACAGGATTGACGGACCTTAATAGAAACAGTCTGAGGGATGCCGAGCCACAGTGATGTTGCTCTGCTTATTTGGTGCAAAGAATTTCCAATTCCATCCTTCTGGTAGCATGCATAAATCCCTCAAATCAACCTGCTTCTTTTCAGCTTTCCTTTTTTCTTTTTAAAGAGACATTTCTACATTATTTCGGTTCCCTCCTCCCCACATAGATACTAATGAAATGGCAAAAGATGCTCTGTAAATACTGACAACACAAGAAGCTAAAGGCACAGAAACCGAGAGGTTAATTCTACACGTCGTGGTGGCTATTGCCCTAAAAGGCCTGAGCTGGCAGTGAGGCAAGATGGTGGCACTGTGGGTGAATAGTTCCCGTGTCCGAGAAATTGGGACAGCTGCCAACCCTGGATGGGGTTGCACTTGCCCTGAAGGAGAAGGTTCACAGTTTGGGGATGCTCAGGTAACCTCAGTAGCTACAAAGGCCTTTTACCAACTGCGACTGATTCAAAAGCTATGGCCATTCCTGGGAAAACCTTGCCACGGTACAGTGGTACCTCAGGTTAAGTACTTAATTCATTCCGGAGGTCCGTTCTTAACCTGAAACTGTTCTTAATCTGAAGCACTACTTTAGCTAATGGGGCCTCCTGCTGCCGCCGCGCCACCGGAGCACGATTTCTGTTCTCATCCTGAAGCAAAGTTCTCAACCCGAGGTACTATTTCTGGGTTAGCGGAGTCTGTAACCTGAAGCATATGTAACCTGAAGCGTATGTAACCCGAGGTACCATTGTAATTCATGTGTTGGTTACTTCAAGACTGGATTACTGCAATGCACTCCATGTGGGGCTTCCCTCGTGCATGATCTGGAAGATGCAGTTGGTGCAAAACGCTACAGCACGATTGTTGACAGGAGCGAGACACAACTCCACTTACCATGGTAAGTATGCCCCCCACTGACTGGAATGCGTTCCTCTCAAACCTGGAATTGAGGAGGGAGGGAAGGTTGTCCCTGCAGCCGTGCTGCCCTTTGGAAGCACAGTACAGTACGACTGCGGGGATAATTCCACTTCCAAGTAGCAACAACAACAAACAGTGTGACAGTGTGAATGTGGTGCAAGGGAGGCATGCAGAATTTGGATACTCCTCTTTCTGCAACACAAGTACAAAGGTGCATTATGCAGAATATAAAAGCAAGACAGTTGTGGACATGGCAAAGGAAGAACTGAGATGGTGCACTTTGGATTTGCTCCAGAAGCTTCTTGCTTTTAGCTGTGGCTTTCATTTTCTAGTGGGAGCTTGAACTTTCTCGCACCGGACGTCATATAGGATGTCAGGCCACTGGGATGGGGGGCAGGATGTGCTCCAAATGGCCTGGAAAACCTAACTAGGCTGATGGGCTGGAAACTCCCCACCACTGTCATAGACATTTCCTTTCCCTTTCACAAAGGAAGGCTGCACCACCAGACTTCATTTCTAGAAAACACTTGGGCACCTCGTTTTTCAAGTAACAGCTCTTGCTTAGTGTCCTTGTCTGTGTACCGGGAGAGACAAACAGAAGCCCTGAATCTATGCACGCAGGTTGCATGACCAGAGATGGCACCCCTGAATAGTAAGGTAAAGGTAAAGGGATCCCTGACCATTAGGTCCAGTCGTGGCCGACTCTGGGGTTGCAGCGCTCATCTCACTTTATTGGCCGAGGGAGCCGGCGTACAGCTTCCGGGTCATGTGGCCAGCATGACTAAGCCACTTCTGGCAAACCAGAGCAGCACACGGAAACGCTGTTTACCTTCCCGCCGGAGCAGTACCTATTCATCTACATGCACTTTGGCGTGCTTTCAAACTGCTAGGTTGGCAGGAGCAGGGACTGAGCAACGGGAGCTCACTCCGTTGCGGGGGATTCGAACCGCCGACCTTCTGATCGGCAAGTCCTAGGCTCTGTGGTTTAACTCACAGCGCCACCCACGTCGCTTACTCCTGAATAGTATAGAGGCTCTATTTGGTTGCAAAATTAAACATTCTAAATCATGACGGAAGCCAATTAGCATGCACGTTTGTCTAGGCAATATATTCATTAGAAATCGGGGAATAGTTCTTTAAACAGGATTTGCCAGGAGGAGGAAATAAACAAATGGGATGACACTGCACCCAGCCCACCCACCACCAAGATTTTATCAAATGGGGTTTACTTTATACTTACATCTTGTCCTGACCAGCCCCCACTCTCAGCGTCAGCCTCGGAATCACGGGAGACGGCGCAGGAACAACAGGTTCCACTTTCATCTGCTAAAGGGAACACATTTAACTGTTAAATGGGCTGCATCTCCTAAAGAGAAATGTAACACTGACAGTGGGACATTGCAGGAAATTACCGTATTTTTTGCTCTATAAGACTCACTTTTTCCCTCCTAAAAAGTAAGGGGAAATGTGTGTGCGTCTTATGGAGCGAATGCAGGCTGCGCAGCCAGAAGCCAGAACAGCAAGAGGGATTGCTGCTTTCACTGCGAAGCGATCCCTCTTGCTGTTCTGGCTTCTGAGATTTTTTTCTTGTTTTCCTCCTCCCAAAACTAGGTGTGTCTTGTGGTCTGGTGCGTCTTATAGAGCGAAAAAATACAGTATTTTACGGGAAAGGAAGCACGTAACTTTACCACGGAACAGATTCTGGTTAAAATGAGAAAAGGCTGCGCAGATTTTGCATTTACTCCTCATGACAGAATGGTTTAGTGTGATATTTAACTGGAATTTTTAAAACTGTGCTGTCTTTGTATGACATTGCGCTGTGTAAATGGACACAGTTCCATCCCCAAGATACCTGGAATCCAAAAGCTTGGTTTGAAATGAAACCTAAATGGCGCCAAGGACCAGGAATCAGAGTCTTCTTAGAATCATAGAAGTGTAGAGTTGGAAGGGTCCCCGAGGGTCATCTAGTCCAACCCCCTTCAATGCTGATGATGAAGCCAAATATAAAGGCCATCTGGTGTCAAAAGGAAGATGGATTTGGCTGAGCCCTCCTGGGGAGGTCATTCCACATACTGGGTGCCACAACTAAAAAGGCCCTCTCTGGTCACCTCCTACCTAACTTCAGAAGGTAAGGGCAGTCAGAGGAAAACTTGGAAGGATTCTAAGTAGTAGATTAAAGCTAAAGTGCATCTGAAATAAATACAATGATGGCCCTTGAACTTGTTTACATGTTGAAGTCATTCTGGCTCTGGTGTGTTCTTCTACAATAGAAAACCTCATATGCTATATTTCTAAGATGATAGATAGATAGATGATATATGATAGATAGATAGATGATAGATAGTGTAATGCGTATGGGGTTGCTCGTGCGTAAGCTGCCGCCTCTCCAGGCTAAATTGCCTTGTTAAACCTTTCTGACTGGACAGCCCTTCTCTACGTGGCTGCCTCAGTCGCTAGCAGAATCCGTCAGTGGGCGTTTCTTAAACCTCTTCCAACATAAAAGTTGTTACGCCCGTCTCCTCCTACCTCACTCGCAGAAGTTTCTCGCAGAGGCGTGTAGGGGGACTGGCTCCCCGCTGGTCATGAGAGTCTGACCCTTCGCAATTCACTGCCCCCTTTATCCTGGTGGCTGATGCTTTCCCCTCTACTGAGCTGCCTCTCTCCCTGTGCCCTCTCCAGCATCATAGCCTTCTTTAGATAGATAGATAGATAGATAGATAGATAGATAGATAGGGTTTTTCCTTCTACTAACAAGTGGTAGTTTTTCCCGTCTCAGTTTTTTATGTCTTTGCATTTAAAACTGTCCCTTTCCTTAAGAATCCTCAGGAGGCACTGATATTTTGCAAAAATGTACTCAAAGTTAATTGGCCGAGAGCCAGTGGATGAATCAGCAAGGTGCCCTAATAAACACCATTAATCACCTTCCTCTCCAGTCTTTGGCTTTATGATTCAGTGCAGACACTCACAAAGCAGGCTAGGCTTGTACGTCATTGTTTGTTGTCATTTATTCAATGCGCTATATAACAGGAGCTGGCAAACACGCACACAGGAATTGTCTTCTTGGGCTGAGAGCAAAGACAATCTGGTCCGGTGTTCTGTTTCATTAACAGCCAACCCAGGGCACTTCTGCGCTTCCAAACAAGGAGTAAAGACGGGGGTCTTCCTATTCTGTTTTGTTCCAAGCAACTGGCATTCAGAGATATACTGTATTGGGAAGTTCCATTTGGCTCTCACAGCTAATATCCATTGTTTGTTGTTTCAGGTTGCTACCGTTCATAGGGAGTCCAAAGGAAAGGGGTGTGTGGTGCTTATATCCAAAATCTCTCAGTGACAGCAGAATTTGGGGGGGGGGGACAGCACCCTGGATGGGAGTAGGACTGCTGTCCATGAACACATGCCTATGTGTCTGGGAGGCTAGGCACTTGTTATAGTTCCATTCTGTTGGTAGTCTTTCCTTTGGATAAACGGTAAAGGGACCCCTGCCCATTAGGTCCAGTCGTGGCCGACTCTGGGGCTGCAGCACTCATCTCGCTTTATTGGCCGAGGGAGCCGGCGTACAGCTTCCGGGTCATGTGGCCAGCATGACTAAGCCGCTTCTGGCAAACCAGAGCAGCGCACGGAAACACCGTTTACCTTCCCGCCAGAGTGGTACCTATTTATCTACTTGCACTTTGACATGCCTTCGAACTGCTAGGTTGGCAGGAGCTGGGACAGAGCAATGGGAGCTCACCCAGTTGCGGGGATTCAAACTGCCGACCTTCTGATAGGCAAGTCCTAGGCTCTGTGGTTTAACCCACAGCGCCATCTGCGTCCCTTATATACTGGCTGTGTATCTTGATAGACTGAGTAGAGCAAATTATTACCATGCTAACCTTTGCGTGTGTGAATGTAATCATTGTTTGTTTGTTTGTTTGTTTGTACCCCACCCATCTGGCTGGGTTTCCCAGTCACTCTGGGCAGCTCCCAACAGAAAATTAAAACACAATAAAACATCAAACATTACAAACGTCACTAAACAGGACTGCCTTCAGATGTCTTCTAAAAATCAGATAGGTATTTATCTCCTTGACATCTGGTGGGAGGGCGTTCCACAGGACGGGCGCCACTACCGAGAAGGCCCTCTGCCTGGTTTCCTGTAACTTCACTTCTTGCAGTGAGGGACTTGCCAGAAGGCTCTCGGAGCTGGACCTCAGTGTTTGGGCAGAACAATGGGGGTGGAGACGAGGCCATTTAATAATGTAATAATGTTTAGCTTTTGAGCTGCTGTTTTGTTAGCACTGTTTTATAGATTATAATTATCAATAATTGTTTTTGTGATGATTTGCCAATTGTGTAAGTCGTGTGCTGTCAACTGTGGTGCTTCAGTGTGAGGTGAATGGTTTGTAGGCCACTTTGGGATTTGCTTGAATGGAAGTGGCACAGAAATACAGCCAACCATCGATACACCTGCCTTACATTAATTCGCCAACTTTATTAGAAACTATCTAAGCTGGCAGCTGTCACCAGTTCTTGTGACTAAGCTACACAATGGTGAAATACATCCTATTGAGACTTCAGGACCTGCTATTCAGTTTCTGGGGGTAACCATTCTAGTAAAATGGAAGAGGCAGAAAATTGTGTGACAGTGTGCTGTTTAGTTTGCACCTTAAATATAGCCTACTGCTTGTTGCTTTATGATGTTCTGAAGCCACCAAAGATGCCACTGTATAAACAACTGTAGGAAAAACACTGTTTAAGGAATAAATTTTCAAGTGCCAGCATCAGTTGTAGCAGACATTTTATCTAATTAGAAAAGAAATCTTAACAGAAATCATGTTATGATTTTTTTCTCCCTAATGACTAGTTTTCAAGTATGGAGACCCACCCAAAAGCTTGCTTACTTATAGGGTTAACTTTTGGGTCTCCTAATTTTTGTCCAGCTGTCACAGTCCGGAAAGGTTCCAAATGGTAACCTGAGTCTTTGCATTTAACAGGAAACCAGGAGGTTAGAAGAACCTCTGTATGTCTGTGAGAGAGAGAATAGATGCGTGCAAATGCGAGAGAAGCAGGAAAAGGTGGATGTTACGGAAAAGGTGGATGTTAAGGGAACATGAGCTTTCATTGGTTAAAAAATTAAAGAGCTGCAATTCTGGAGTAATACTGGAAATTCGGGCCAGCAGAAGAGCATTTACAGTGGATTACTAAGCTTCCCAAATCACCAAAGAAGTAAAGTCCAGCAATATAAGACTCCTTTGTAGCTAACTAAAAATACATTGTCAGTGGATTTGTCCAGTTTTATGTATAAGCAATACTTCTTTCACCTGAACTAATACTAGTAGTCATATAAGCCCCTTATTGCCATGTGCTGCATTTCCCCCCCTCTTTTTTTGCTAATCTTCAAGGATTTAGCTTCTTTGCCACATACCTCAGGGCACCAACTGATAAAGCTCAAACTCTCCGTTTTTCCAGGACACCAGCAGAGCGGCCTTGCAAAAAATGAAAATCACTCAAGAGATTTAAAAGGGGGGAAATTTATTTTCAAAATCCTGACTTGCAGCAAAGAGGTGGACTTTTTCGACTTTTTTTTTTCCTCCAAAGCTTATCTGTCTAGATCAGTTTAAATTTTAATTCTATCCAGGGACTCTTTCATGCAGCCTGGCTGTAAAGTTTATCTTTTGACAGGGACTTTTCACCAAGGTAACAGGAAGCTTTGTCAATGTAATCTGCCCGAGCTTATATGGCTTTCCCTATAATACAATATATTTTAGGGCTACGAAGAATAGACTTTTAATAGGTGGTATTGTTCCATTATATTCCTAATGTTACACCGAATTCTAAAAAACCAGGAGACAAAACCTAGACAAGAACCAGTTATGGAATGGGAGTGGAAAACTACATTCACATGAATTATTTTTGAGTTTGTTCGCATGGTATGGTTTTGGTATACGTAATTCCACCCCTTGCCCTGTATTGTGAAAGGCTGTGGCTATGATTAGTTATTCCAAAACTATTGACATCTATACGTATTTATTTATACATGGTTTTCCACTGGGTAAGTATAATCCCCTACCTAGTTTGGTTATTAAGGGGATTTAAAGTGCGATTTCTTACCCCAAAGCTTGCAAGCTAAATAGAATAAAATAAAAAGAGAAGCAAAGAGAGAGAGAGTGAAGAGGCAAATGGCTGGGGTGGATGGAAAAAGGGGAAGGTTGGAGATGCACACACAGTTGCCAAAACCCAAATGACCTGATTTTCTCCCTAAGGATACCACCTTGTCACGCACCTCCTCCCAAGCAGACTACGTATCTTTGAGCTGAGACAAACTTCCCTTGCCTAAGCCTCTCTGAAACTGGGGACCGCTGCCTCTCTGAAACTGGGGACAAGATTGACAATACAGACAATACAGATGCCTCTCACCAATTATCTCCAATTATCTCCAATTCAGCCCTCGCTGCAGATGGTTGGGCTATGGGGAGCGTCTCCACCCCCATCGTTCTGCCCGGACGCTGAGGTCCAGCGCTGAGGGCCTTCTGGCGGTTCCCTCATTGCGAGAAGCAAAGCTACAGGGAACCAGGCAGAGGGCCTTCTCGGTAGTGGCGCCCACCCTGTGGAACGCCCTCCCACCAGATGTCAAAGAGAAAAACAACTACCTGACATTCAGAAGACATCTTAAAGCAGCCCTGTTCAGGGAAGCTTTTAATGTGTGACATTTTAGTGTATTTTTGGTCTCTGTGGAAGCCGCCCAGAGTGGCTGGGGAAACCCAGCCAGATGGGCAGGGTACAAATAAATTATTATTATTATTATTATTATTATTATTATTATTATTATTATTAGTATTGGCAGCCTGGTTTACATGCAATGCTAAACCACTGTTTACTGCTCGTGAGGGAGCCCCATCCCCTCTCCTGCATGGGCAGGAGAACTTCTACTGAGTTCTGTTTCACTTTTAAATGTGGCAACTAGCCTGGTAATAGGGAGCAGTTACTAGTTACTGGTCCTAAATGATCTACAATGGCTCCCAGTACCTTTCTGAGCAGAATTCAAAATGTTGGTGCTAACCTTTAAAGCCCTAAACGGCCTCGGCCCAGTTTACCTGAAGGAGTGTCTCCACCCCCATCGTTCTGCCCAGATGCTGAGATTCAGCTCCAAGGGCCTTCTGGTGGTTCCCTCATTGCGAGAAGTGAGGTTACAGGGAACCAGGCAGAGGGCCTTCTCGGTGGTGGCCCCTGCCCTGTGGAACACTCTACCATCAGATGTCAAGGAGATAAACAACTATTTCACTTTTAGAAGATATCTGAAGGCAGCCCTGAAGGGAAGTTTTAATGGTTGATGTTTTACTGTTTTACTGATGTTTTAAATGTTTTGATTGGAGCCGCCCAGATGGGCAGCATATAAATAATAAAGTTGTTGTTGTTGTTGTTATAAAGAGGAGGGAGCAAACTAATGCCAGTGTAAAATAGCAGCTAGATGTCCATAGAGCTGATTTATTTAGGAAATTGGCATACAGGACAGAAAATGTAAAGTACCCTTTTGGAGATGCAGTGCTGGACCAGTAAAGACAAGAGGCCATAAATAAAATTTCCATTTTACCCTTACCTCCAACACCCCTGTTGTCCTATTCATTTTTAGAATGCAAGCTTTCCTGCGTATGTAGTCCCCCTATATCAGGGGTGTCCAAGCTTTTTTCAAAGGGGGCCAGATTTGATGAAGTGAGGGCCGACCCATGAGGGGCCGACCAAAGTTATTGACCTTTTTTTAGGATTGGAGTTGCTGAGCTTTTTTAAGGATTGATGTTATTAAGGTGTTTTTGGGATTTTACCCCAGGAAATAAACTGTCACAGGGGCCTGACCGACCGGCAGGCCAGATTAGGTTCTCAAAACAGACTTTGGACATGCCTGCCCTACATGAATAGTACAGGTACATTAACTTGAACGTGCTCAAATTTTGAAAGAAGACTTAGGGTAAAGGTGAAAACTGCAGGAAAGGTGTGGATTTAGGGATCTGTTAACTTTTTAAACTTTCATAATTAAAAGACCAACATAAACAGAACCCCTGCTGGATCTGGCCAAAGGCCCATCTAGTCCAGGTAGCCAACCAAATGTCCATGGGAAGCCTGCAAGCAAGACCTGAAAACACTTTTGTGATTCCAAGTAACTGGTATTTGGAGTCATACTGTCTCCAACAGTGGAGGGAGAACAAAGCCTTAACCTCCACCTGTCATGGATGCTTTAGCTGAGATTCCTGCATCGCAGGGGGTTGGACTAGATGACCCTCGAGGTCCCTTCCAACTCTACAATTCTAGGCTTCTATGATTCTGTTAGCCTCATTTTACTACTGTGAAATCCTTTCAATAAATTCAGTTTTTAGGTTTAAATATTTTACTGTTTCAGAACCCTATGAAGCATATATTTAGATGTTGCTCCGGTATAATTCTGCTATGGAGTGGGAAGCTGAGCAATAAAGAACTCCGCCCCAAAATACACCAATTGCTTACTTTTTCGTGTTTGTGTTTCTCTTTTTCCTTTTCTTTCTTCTCCCTCTCCTTCTTTTCTTTCTCTTTCTCCTTCTTCTCCTTTTCCTTGTCCTTCTCCCTCTCTTTCTTCTTCTTCTTCTCCTTTTTGTCCTTCTTCTTTTCTTTGGGCTTCTCCTTCTCCTCAAAGAGTTTTTCGGGAAGGATCGTCGGGAGGGCCGGCAGCAGCGACGGGAGTTTCATGGCAGCCGGGGTGCTGAACAAGGGCAGGGGCAGGTCTTTGGGAGGCAGAACAAGAGGCACTGACGAAGTTTTATTCTTGCCTTTATTTTTCTCTTTAACTTTCTCCTTGTCTTTCTTGTCTTTATCTTTCTTGCCTTTATCTTTCTTCTTGTCTTTATGCTTCTCTCGTTCTTTCTTGGTGCTGCCATCTTTTACCTTGACTTTTGGCTCATCCTCAAAGTCTTTAATTTTGAACTTGTACGGATCCAAGTCATCATCTCTGATCAAGTCCTTCCACGGAAATTTTACTTCTTTGCCTCCATCTTTGTCTTTATCCTTGTCTTTGTTTTTCTCCTTGTCTTTGTTCTTCTCTTTATTCTTCTCCTTGTCTTTGTTCTTTTCCTTCTTCTTCATTTTTGTCTTCAACTCTTTCTTCAGCTTCTTCATAACTTCTACTGAGGAAGCCAGCTTAGTTTTCTCCTCGTAAACTTTGAGCAGAGGCTCTGGAGTTGGTGGAGAAGCAGAGGGAGATGAGAAATAAGGGAAGTTTGCCGGCAAATTGGCAGGAGGACCCATATTTGCTTTCCGAATGACCTCATCTATGGAGTCATCCATCGTCCATGAAATGTCTGAGCTTGACGTTCCACCAGAGGGAGGAACTGGGGTGCTTCCTGCTTTATTTAAGCTGCTGTTAGCAGAAACAGAAGCTTTGGGGGTTGCAGTCTCTGACACAGACAGTCTTTTAGGGCTAGTGAAAACATCCCCTTCCGATTCTGACCCCGAGGAAAACTCGAATGGGTCCGGGTCCCGTTCAGCACAAGCACGAGCAATTACAGCATCAATGGAATCGTCAATTGTCTTGTCCAGCACGGCCACTTTCTTCGCCGGATTCTCACTGTTTGGTTTCCCAGGGTCAACGGGGGTTGGCCCTTGTTTTATTTGGATATTCTCTTTCCCCATCTTTTCACTTAACGCTGCCAAGGGCGTTCTACTCGGTGTCTCCTGCTTAACTGCTACCTGAGGGACATGAACCGGAACCTTTGGACTCTTAGGACTTCTGGGGCTCTTGGATCGGCCCGGCGATTTCTTCTCTTTGGGTCCAGTTTTTGGAGAGCGGATGGGGCTTCCGGCCACTGCTGGTGATGGAGGAACTTTGGGCGCCTTAGTCTTCTGCCCTGGGGAGTTCGTTTTCACCTTTGCTTTAGGTGTAAATGCTCTGGGCTCCAATGGTTTGGAAACCGGCAACTGCGATTTTGCAATGGGAGCCAGTATGGGTGGTTCTGGAGAGAGAGGAGCCACATCGGCACCATCCTGAACGCAAACTGGGGAAAGCATGGGGGGCACCTTCTGGGCATTGATGGAACTAAGAGGCTCACGCGGTTCCACCGTCCCCTCTGGACTATCTCCTTTCATGCTAGCTAGTTTTGGCCGCTTCGTGGCAGGCATTTCCTCAGATTCGGGACTTTCTAATGGCCTCTTGCTCAAGTAGTTTTCATCGTTGACAGCCTCCTCTTCTTCCATTTCTCCCTCTTCCTCCAAAGGTACTTGCATGGCTTCTGCTGAAGTCCCGCCATCAGTGGGCACCTGCTCTTCCTCTTCCTCTGTTGAAAGAAACAAGTAAAGGGAAAGTTGTTAGCTTACTTAAGACAATGGCACAACTTTCTAGAGAGATCACAAGAAGTAAGCTCACATGGACTGAATGACTCAGTTTAAGAACTGTACAAAAACAAAGCATTTCACTTATCAGATACAGTATACAGATTAAATGGTACACAACAGCACTTTATTCACCCACCCACCCACATATATATATAGTATCATTTTCATATTTTCAGAGAAATCCATTCTCAAATTGTGGTCCATAAGCGATTTCTCTACTGCTATTTTTTTTTATTCCATTACACCTACCATTTCAATTGGAGCCAATTGCAGCATCTCCCTCCACGTCAAGTGATTGTCTGCTTCTTTGAATCAAAATATCACAACCAGAGATTCTAGGTGTGCTGGATTTCGCTAGCAGGCCAAGGAAATATATATCCTCAGAGAGAGAAATGTCTTATTTCCTTCCTTAAATCAACCAACCAACCAACCAACCAACCTGAAACCTTATTTTTACTGAGTTTCACTGAAGTTACATGTAAAGTAGCAAGGAAGGAAGAGCGAACCAAATAAACCAAAAGGAAACATAAACAACTCTGGTTGACCACCGTGAGTTTTATCCAGCGCTGTGTGAGTGGACTTTCACTAGCACAGCAGGATTTCCCGTTTCTCTCCCAGGGGTTCTCTCCCTAAGCACCCCTAACTATCTGTTCCAGATTGTCCCCCAATTGTCTAGAACAGATTTTGCATGTGTGCAGGAAGCTGCAGGGGAAAGTAGGAGGAACAGTTCATTGTGCAAGCGAAAGTCTGTTGCATGAGCAAAACATCAGCGTTAGATACAATCACAAGAATATATATATACACATTTATGTATGTAGCGGCAAGAAAATATAGCTGGTCATCTAGAATCAAACATCCCCTAATATGTGACACTTTTTGTTTATGTCAGGTTGTGTAGCTTTTAAAAAAATCAATGTAGCTACATGGAGTTGTATTCAATGCCCCCCCCCCCCGGTCTTTCCTCCCAAAGGAGCCCAGGAAGGCAGGTTAGTCATATTCAGAGTCGACCAACTGAAATCAAAGAATGAGATTAATTTAGGTCCATTAATTTCAGCAGGTTTACTCTGAGTAGCACTTGGTTGGATACAACCAACGGTTCAGTCACAAAACGATTCTCTCGCTCTGCTACTGTTAAATAACCTCTGTACATTCATTTACCCAACTTCACCAAAAAAAAGTCTGTCTGGTTTGACTTTAGCAACATGAGAGTGGGTGCAGTACACACTCGTCTTTCGCTTAACTATATAACAGCCCTCTTTTGAAGCTTAGTAATTGCAAGAATTTTAAAAACTCCAGCATGAAAGCAACCTGTAGATGCTATTAGTGAGGAATGCCCAGAATTATTCGGTTTTTGGAAGGTGGCTGCAAGGAGGAATGAGTATGCAATTTTGTTATTTTAACAAACATTTTTTTTAAATAAAATAAAATAAAATATTATTCTGAAACTGTGCAAAGTCTTCCTTTATTCTGAATCCAACTTAAAGAATCTCATTTGAAAGAGTTTCCTTTCAGGCTATGGGAGGGGATGTTTCTTGCCTCTAAAATGTGTCAATGCCCCGATTTAGGAGAGTTGAGTCAAGAGCCCTGGGCTGAAGCATGAATGAGTGCCAGCATCACAAATTAAGTAAAACGAGCTAACAAGTCGAGCTTTTGCCAAGGCCCAGAGGATTTACAGCAGCCAGTCCAGAGTGGAGACTTTGCCCGGGGATAAAGCCTTAGCCTTCTGTGAAAAACAGAAAAGTGTTAGGCAGTTCAGTTTTGCTTGGATGGGCATGCACATTTCTGTCTCTTAAAAAAAGAAAAAGAAAAAGCAAATCACTCTTGACTGAGTCGGCACCTGCTAGAAATAGACTGAACCGCCAGTTTCTGTGCTGCAGGTTTCTCAAATCTGGTTCAATCATTATCTGATCTATTATGGGAATGAAATATGCTTTCTTGCCCTATAATGGTATGAATTAAGAGGGAATGAGTGGTGCTGCTGGAAAAACATTTCAAATTCATAGGGAACAGCTTCCAAGTTATAGATGTCAGCCCAATGCAGGCCTGGAAAAATGCCTTCGCGTTGCTTAGCTCCCTGCATCAAATTCCAAGGGGCCCAAAGAACTATGATTCTCCCTAGCCCATTTCAGAAGATACCTCTGATCACCTGCAAAAACACCATTCAATAGCTCCTCCTTCTGACAGTCCATCAAAGAGTTATTAACAAGTCCTCTAAAAGGTGTTTCAGACAGATATTGACAGGCCTACTAAAAGCCAAAGATATTCAAGGTATCTTGCGTTCTTAACAAGAGCATCTGCAAAGTTAAACCTCTTTCTAGATTGTATCAATTCAGACAAAAGGTGAGCTTTCACATGATTTTGTTCCTTCACAGCAAAATACATTTTTTCTTCTATTTATGAATACGATTTATAGGCTACCTATAACTCACGTTCTCTGGGTGACTATAAACGCACTGTACATGCAGAAACCCAAATGTCAGCGGAAATACTAAGTTTGAATTCTTCTCTCTGATATGCTAGTTTTCAGTGTGCAGAAAATATTTCTGGATGCAGGAGGATTTGATCCTATGAGCCCCCACCTGCAGCCTCAAAACACCTTTACCTCTTCACCTGTTCTTTGTGAGCACTAGGCTTGAGTAATTGTGCATTCCCACTCTTCAATACCCAGGACAGCTGATAAATAATTCCAGGTTATACCCTGAATGAACGCAGTGCTACAATCCAACAATCTGATAGCAGCTCCCAAGAAGCCAGTTATTAGAGAGAGCAAGAAATCCTAGCCATTCTGTATGGCATGGGGAGGGAGCAGGCTGCAATGGAGTGCCTTACACTTCCTAAAGGCCTGAGTTCCTCCACTACTAAAATGGAAGAGCTTGAGCAAGCAAAATGTTAGCCGATATTAGTGATGCTGTAGCAGAGAGGTGTGGGCCTCTTTCTACCCAAGGGCTGAATTCCAAGATGGGCAACTTTCTGCAGCGGAACCAAAAGCAGAAGTGTGCAGGGTGATGGACTAACAACCTCTTCTTCTTCTTCTTCTTCTTCTTCTTCTTCTTCTTCTTCTTCTTATTATTATTATTATTATTATTATTATTATTATATTTATATGCCAGCCATCTGAGTGGGTTGCCCCAGCCACTCTGGGAGGCTCCCAACAGAATGTTAAAAACACATTCCAACCATGCAAAAAAAGAGAGAAGAGTTTCCCACTACTTCTTCCCAGGTGAGCAGTAGGCATGATCATAGTTCAGAGCACACATTCAAGGAGGGTGGGATAAGGGCTGGTGAGGAGCGTGACCTGATGAGGGGGCATGTGGCCTGGGCAGAGTCCTGGGGGCCAGATAGAAATGCCTGGAGAGGCACATTTGGCCCCTGGGGCTGAGGTTCCCCACTCCTGGGGCTTTGGGATAGTGGTCATTCAAAGTATTCCCTGCACACTGAGATTCTCATTTTGGAGAACCCCAGAAACCTGGGCTAGAATCCTCAGTACTCATCTGATAGTTGCTGCGTTAACAGGGGGAAATGGAATCTAGACACTGAGGTCCAGCACCGAGGGCCTTCTGGCGGTTCCCTCACTGCGAGAAGCCAAGTTACAGGGAACCAGGCAGAGGGCCTTCTCGGTAGTGGCGCCCTCCCTGTAGAACGCCCTCCCACCAGATGTCAAAGAGAACAACAATTACCAGACTTTTAGAAGACATCTGAAGGCAGCCCTGTTTAGGGAAGCTTTTAATGTTTAATGTATCACAGTATTTTAATATTCTTTTGGAAGCCGCCCAGAGTGGCTGGGGAAACCCAGCCAGATGGGCGGGGTATAAATAAATAATAATAATAATAATAACAATTATTATTATTATTATTATTATTATTATTATTGTAAAATTAGTTTCAACAGCAACTATTGTAAGCTGTTGCATTTTCTCACACCTTTCCATTTTACTTAAAATCAATTTACACTTCTAAAGACTTGTCACAATCTTAGAATTCCTAGGGACTTTCTCTCCAGGCATATGTAACTGCCACCATATTTATCTGCAAACAAATACCACTGTAGTCTCTCAGCATCAAGCAATCATGGCTAATAACTGAGAGATCTAGAAACTTTCAACCAACGTGGGACTCAAACCCACAACCCGAGTTTAGGAGTTTCATGCTCTACCAACAGAGCTATTGTGCTTTGCATTGAAACTAAAGGCAGAGGAGTGATACTGTAGATGGCTTAGCTCTACTTAGCACATCAGTGAGACTTAAAAGCAGCATAAAACAGTAATATGGATGAACAGTAACAGAACTTTATTTAGCACATGGAAAATTAGCTTTGCAGTTCAAAATCTGGAGCGTATGAATATTTGGCTTGGCTCTCACCCTTTGCCAAAACAGAAAATAAGACTTTCAGACTTAGGCCTAACTTTGGGAAGGAGGTTTTAAATGAAGATTTAGAATGGGCAACATTTAAAACATCACTCTAAACACCACCACAAATCAACATTTTTTAACTTCCATGGAGCAAAGGGCCTACACAGCTGTTTCCATACAAACATACCCCAGCATGGGCCAGATTCCCAAGTGCTAGGATGGCAACATGGGAAAAAAGCCATGGCATGTTGGTTCCTGAATCTCTGTAGTAACCAATGAAGGATCCCTTAGGATCCTTGGTCTTTTAAGAATGCCAGCTGATTGGCAGCTCCTGTGACAGGGAGATGCTGCACTGTAAAAGCAAAGAGATTTGAGCTATGAATGGGGAAGCTGCTGGCTTGAATCCCATCTCTGTTGTGAATTCTCCATCGTCTTAAATTAAGGTATGCTCGCTCATCCTCAACTCCTCAACTGCAATATGGGACCTAGCTTACAGGGTTGTTAAAAGGCTCACAAAATAACGTGATGTCCCTGGAACACTCTGAGGTGCCATATGAATGCAGTGGTACCTCCGGTTACGAACAGGATCCGT